GCGCCTTCCGATGGCAAAACCGCGACGCCGTTGGGGCAACCCCGCGGGCCGGTCCGGTGGGACAACCCCGGGAACCGCTGGGGCGCAGGAGCAAGCCGTTGGGACAACCCCGCAGGCACCGAGCTAGACGCGGCCGCGCTCAGGCAGGAGGCAGCGCGAAGTCCAGCTCTGCCGCGAGCTGCTCCGCCTCGCCTGGCGGAGGCCCTCCTCCCGCCCTCCCGCGGCCCGGACACAAGGGTCTTCCCCTGCGCCCGACCGTCGTCAACCGTCGCCGTCGTCCTCGTGGATTGCTCCTCCTCCTCCTCCTCCTCCTCCTCCTCCTCAGACAGCTGAAGGATTTGGCCCGTGAGTGCTCGTGGCAGGCCAGGTGGAGATTCCAGCGCCAGCAACAGCGGGCGTACTTTTCCGAGCGCGAGCGCGAGCGCGCCGAAGCTTCCTCCCCATATGTGCAAAAATCCCGCCCGAAACTTGTCTGCGATTCATTCGCAATCCCTCCTGAGACCTCCTCCATACGCAAGCTTAAAGACGCCATAAAGGACGACAATAACAAGATGCAGATGACCCGCTCGGATTCGTAACATGAGCTGTGGCCCTGATAGGGAGGGGGGGCCATGCCTGAGACGTCCTCGCGAGTCACTCACAGACGAGGGTCCTGCCTGAGAGTTCCTCCATGTTCAAACTGGGGGGGGGCCCAAACGTGACGACGGTTGCATGGTTCCGATGATCCGTTCGGATTAGTAACGTGAGCTGCGGGCCCCATTGGGAGAGGGCTCCCGCCTGAGACTTCCTTGCAGCTCACAAACGGACGAAGGTCTTGGCTGAGAGTTCCTCCATATACAAGCTTGGAGAGGCCAAACATGACGACGGTTACATGGCTCCGATGACCCGCTCGGATTAGTGAGGTGAGCTGCGGCCCCTTTAGGGAGAGGGCTCCCGCCTGAGACTTCTTTGAACTCGCTCACAGACGAGGGTCATGCCTGAGAGTTCCTCCATATTCAAGCTCGAAGAAGCCAAACGTGACGACGGTTCCATGGTTCCGATGACCCGCTCGGAATAGTAACGTAAGCTGCGGCCCCCATATGGAGGGGGCTCCCGCGTGAGACTTCTTCGGCTTCACTCACAGACGAGGGTCCTGCCTGAGAGTTCCTCCGTACAGTAGGGGCTCGATCACAGGAAACCTTCCACAAAAAACCCAACCCTGAGACCCCAGGACGTCCATCGATGTTTGGTATGGGAGCGCGACCCTCTCCATAGCAAAGCCATCGACACCCAAGAAACCCAGGGCACCCTGGAGGCAAGCAGGGTGCTTTGCATGGGTCCCCACTGCACTCAAGCCTGAAGGGGCCATAAATGACATCAGTTACAAGGTTACGATGGCCCGCTCGGATTCGTAACATGAGCTGGAAGCGTCCCCTAAGGCAGGGGGCTCCCGCCTAAGTCTTGCTCTCAATTCGCTCACGGGCGAAACTCCCGGCCGAACAAATCTGGTATTCAAGGCGCAAGGGCTCAACCGTGACGACAACTACAAACTTCGAATGGGCCGCTCGGATAGGTAACATGATCTGCGGGCCTCGGGTTTCCGCCTGAGACGTCTTCGCACTTCACTCACAGACGAGGCTCCCGTCCGAGGCTTCCGTGAGATGAGCGGATGCGCGTGCGTGCGATGATGGTGATTATGAGCAGGATGGTGTGAAAGTGATGATGGTGATGATGAGATGGTGATAATGAGCAAGATTTTGATCTTGACGATGGAGATGCGGATGGTGAATTGAGTGCGTGGGAGATTGATCGTGTGTGGTGAGTGTGTGACTGATGGCGACGGTGTGAGTGATTGAGTGATTGATGATGATGGTGAGTGTTGATGAGGTTGGTGCTGGTATGACGATGGTGTGAGTGACGAGGCAAACAACTATGCAAAGGGGGAACAGGAGAGGAGGAGGAGGAGGAGGAGGAGGACGAGGACCAGTACTGCACGGGGTGTCCTAAGAAAACGAGACCACCCATTTGGATGTGGGAAGAACCACGACGCCGGACGTCGTGTTGTTTGAAGAATCGCGGGGTCCCAAGAACTCTCGCCCCCTTCACGGAGGCCAAATTCTTCATCACGGCTGGTTGGCTGACCGTCCATGGGCCAGAACGTGAAATCCCAAGGGGGAGAACATTGCGAAACCGAAGCCATATATACATATAGTTTCAAAACTCTGGAGGTCTGAGACACCCTCCCCTCGAAAATCGCCCCCTGGCTCATGGGATGCGTTCCGACCAGTGTTTCAAGGCGGACCCTGCCATGGCGACACTGAGCACCCTGGAGACAAGAACAGCGGCCAACACACATAGCATAGATAGATGTATCTATATAGAATATGAACACATGCAAAACACGTCGAACCTTGATCATCCGCGATCATCCTGCTCCTACGCCGGGCAGACACTTGATACTGTTGGCCGGGCAACACGCGTCCACACCCGCAGCGTCGAAGCGTGACCACGAAGTATATTA